CCCAAAGCTACCAATCCAAGGTCCGAAATCTTCAATTCTTCACAGGTTATCATTACTCAAGGAAACATTGGCACATGGTCACCAACCTCATCGTCCAATCACCAAAGAATTCAGCAACCCGACTTTCGAACTCGACACTGTAGCTGATTTGACTTATTTGATGTAATTTTGGCTGGGAACCATATATAAATAATGAAAGAATAGAAAGAAAAATACAACAAACTCAGTACGCAAAAACAAAGAAAAACTTTAAAGGAATTTACCCGCTATTATCTTCGAATGGCCCCTCTTTCTTAAAGTTGATTCGAAATTAACTCGAACAAATTTCGACGTCAACTTTCAAATTCAATGACTTTAATAAACTCCCATTTATATTGATCACTATTGATAGCATAAAGGGGAGCTCGAGATTGGACATAATAACTTTTCTTTTCTTTTAAATTTGGAATGCTTTTGACCACCGTAAAAAGTTTAAGTGACTTCCTCTTTATAGCTAAAACCTCGTACAAGGCCTATTGCTTCTTATTTTATTAAAGGATTTTGTTTTTATTTAAAAAATATCTAACTTCTATAACACATACTCGGTGTTCACTACAGTGCTTCCATATACATCAGCCAATCAACATGTAACTTACGACAAGTAGACATAAAATTGACGAAAAAAACTGCAGACCCCTAATTTTGGAAAAATTGCTGTTTAGTATTTATTTTCACCACTTTATAAATAGCACAGGATAGTCACTCTTACATTGGTCTACAGAGTTGTGATATTTATTGAACACATATAGATGATCATGAACTCTAATACTATTAGATTAATAACGTTATTTCATCTTTATTCATTAGACAAGAGATCACCGATACGTATATCAACAACAGTGTTATTATTTATCAAACGATGGCCTCATTGTTATTGATAAATAATATTACTCGAAGGCACCGTTTGATTGGCAATTTATTTTCATCGAAAATGGAATTTGGATGGCATTTTCTAACTTTGGTGTGTCTGATTGTGATTTATTTTCCATAGAATAGGAATTCTTGGATTTCTTGAGAATTGTATTTTTCTTGTTTTTGTCCGATTTTCCCAGTTACTATTGACTCTTTTTTTTTTTTTGGCAATGAAAATAAAAAAATATTTCTCTTTAATCGAAATTTTTTATGTAAAATAAAGTCAAACGAACACCAAAAGATAAATGATTTTCTTCATTGTTATTATTATTATTTTTTTGGTTTGACAATGAAAATAAATTTCATCCCCAATACCAATAAATTCAATCACTTTAATCGACAATTTTCATGTAAAACAAAGTCAAACGAACACAAAAAAAAAACACTTTTATTTTAATATTTTTCACGTGGAAAATTATACCAATCAAACACAATAATTTCCAATTCTCATGAAAATAATTTTTAGGTAATTCAATTCCTTAAAATTCGTTTTTTTTTTCACTCAAATTTTTTCTTTACAATATCCTAAATTTCGCCACCACAATAGACCTTTTATGGACTGCCACTGGTGGTGCTCCACTGTAATTATGCACAAGGCACTCAGTGGTTTACAGCAAATCATGTGCATAAACAAATCTTGGGGTCTAGATCTAGATGAATTTTCGGATATTGATTAAGTGGGGTGGAAATAATTCTTGAGCGCACTAGCCTAGGGGAATGTTTGTGGGACCCAAGAATGACTAAAGTCGGTAGTTTGTCAGGTATTTCTCAATCTCATCTCTCAAATCGAATGCAGAAGAAAAAAAAAATGGAGAGATGGGCATGGCATGGGGGACCTAATCATCACTGATTGAATTAGTCCTCACAGTACTGTTCGGACATACAAGTTAGATTAGGTAAAATATCCATTAGCCATTGAATTGGTCTTCACTCTGTTTGGACACACAAGCAGGATTAAGTAAGGGCGGTCCTGCCGATAGGTTTGGTAAGGTAAACTAAACACTATACTAATGGTACTGTTTACTAAACGTGCTCTGTTTATGTAGAACTAGAACTGTTTTGATACAAACCGGGAAATATATACCCTATCTCTTCATCTCACTCCAGTCCAATGTACTTGCCACTTGTCCTGAAGACATCTTCTTGTACTGAAAACAAATACTAGTTTACAAATCAGCAAAAGAATTAAACTACACTGACGCTTACTTGCGGGTCGCATGTTCATTAACTTCATCCCAAATACATAAACAAGAGAAGAACATTTCATAGCAAAGCTCAATACAAAGTTAGATGCATACATGATTGTTTTACCAGGCAACAAATTATGAAATAAAAATTTGCTTCTTTTGCCTCTAATATCAGGATAAAAGTATTATGGCTGATTTTGCCCTTCAAAAATATGGGCTGGCTTAAATTCTTTCATCATCTTTTCTTCTATCAATACATAGTATCCCAAATAGCACCTTAAACTGAAGCGAATACCTAAACAAGCTTCAAACTCCCATCATGATCAGACAGTAACGATAATTATTGACTTGAACATGGAAAAGAGGGAAAAGAAACCCTTGTACTATATGAGTTAGCAGTTGTTTGCAATATTCAAACAAGTAACCCAGTTCAAAACACTATTAAAAAAAAAAAAAGAAGAATAAAAATAGTTCCTGGATAATTGTATACTCAGTTCTTTTACCATGGCCCTCCTGTCATTCCATTCCAATATCCAGTTGAATCTCCATGTTGATCTCTATTTTGCTCAGCATGATCAGTTGTATTTTTGGTGCTTGGGTCCTGCTTCAAATCTTCAAATGGAAAAGGAACCTTCACATTTGTCTCTTGCGCTCCCTGGAAACTCCCATATGCAGTACTAGTCCCAATATTTCCATCCAAAGAAAAGTTCAAAGAGGGTTTAAATTGATTATAATCTGGCAACGAAGGAAACCCCGATGAGTAGACTATATTTGGATCGGTAATTAGCATTGGGGCGAAGGAATTTAAGCCACTTGATGTTGAAATTCCAGTCAAGAGCTCCATAGCTGAAAGGTGAGATGAAGGTGAAGAAGAAGAACGATTGTTTAATTCCTTGTTCCCATTAATATCAAAGTTGGGAACTTGAATCAGTTCATTTATAGCCTTGAAATCATTCTGGGTCGAAAATCCCAAGTTGAGTTCATGGTTATCGTGGATTTTAGGGTTTTGTAAAACTAGATCAGGGACATTTTTTGGTGAAATTGAAGAAGAATTAGCAGAATTATGTGATCTTCTGTTCTTTCTTGAACCCCCTCCAACAGGAATATTTCTTAAAGATCCACCTTCTGTCCAATATCTTCTGCATGTCTTGCAAAAATACCTTGGCTGAGAGAGACTGTAATTGTTGTAATAGCAAAACTTTGTATTTGTTGAATTGCACCTTGGACAATTCACAGCTTGTTCTTTCTGAGGCCTTTTCCTTTCTAAAGAAGGTTTTGGACATGTTACTATCTCTTCCATCTGTTTCATCACTATATCCTAAAAACCCAAAAATAAATATCATCAAAAAGTATAAAATTTTGCTTCAAGAACAAACAAATAGGAAAACTAACTCCCACAATTTCAGAGCAAAAACATATACAAACAGGAAGGAAACAAACAAACAAAGTCAGGTGCTTTACACCTTTTTAAAGATCATGAACAGAAACAAAACAAGAAAAGTGAAGAAGAAATAAGTAGATTAAGAAATTTAATCTTTTCTCAGTCTACCACAAAAGCAATAGATAAAGTACATAATTTGAAATCAAGCTTTAGAATTAAAAAAAAATTAAAATTAAAATTAAAATGTCAATTTTTAGAAGAGCATATATACAAATATGATAAAAAGAAATAGCTGAAGAAAATTAAGACACAAAATCAAGGGATCACCAAAAAAAGGGTTATGGATCTAATTACCTCAGGCCATTTAGCAGTATCCATGGATGAAGAAGGAAGGTGAAGAACGGAAATGGTATTTTCAGAAGAGAAAAAGCTTCTGCTTTCTTGCAAGTGGTTTTAAAAAGCAGTAAAAGAAATGTTTGAGAATGCATGTGGGCGGTACCATGTGCTTTATTAGTGGGGAAAAACACATAACTACTACGTTATAAAAATATATTTCAATTGACAAATTCTGTAAAATCTTTCATAAATCAAGAGATAAATTAAAATTATAAAATATAAAATTATATAATATACATGGTCCTGTTTGGTAGTCATTTTTTTCAAAATATATTTTTCTCTCTCTTTTTTTCAATCACACATTCTTTATTAAAATAATATTACACGTAAATTAAAAAAATTTCCTTATTTCTCAACCACATTTTTCACATCAATTTACTATTCTAAAATGCATTTTTACTAAAAATGTCTATCAAATACCCCCATAATATACTCTAAATCTAGATTAAAAAAAAATACTGATATCTTCTACAAATTAACTAATATACTATATTTAAATATATTTATCACTTTCTTCACATTATCAAAATCGATTTTTTTCTNCTGTAAAATCTTTCATAAATCAAGAGATAAATTAAAATTATAAAATATAAAATTATATAATATACATGGTCCTGTTTGGTAGTGATTTTTTTCAAAATGTATTTTTCTCTCTCTTTTTTTCAATCACACATTCTTTATTAAAATAATATTACACGTAAATTAAAAAAATTTCCTTATTTCTCAACCACATTTTTCACATCAATTTACTATTCTAAAATGTATTTGTACTAAAAATGTCTATCAAATACCCCCATAATATACTCTAAATCTAGATTAAAAAAAAATATTGATATCTTCTACAAATTAACTAATATACTATATTTAAATATATTTATCACTTTCTTCACATTATCAAAATCGATTTTTTTCTCTCTACACAAGATCTCGCCGAAACACTCCAAAATCACAAAAATTTCACCCTCATTCCTCAATGAAGTTACAATCAATCAATAAAGTCACAATCCCCGTCAACATGCTTCTGATTTTCATTGCTCTGGAGAAGTCGAAGCTCAAATATGGAGGAATTGTATTTTCCCTACACAAAAAATGAAGTTCTTTGATCGTGAAAACTCTCCAAAATCATGAAAATTTTATCGTTAATCCTCGATTTCAAGCTACAATCAATCAATAACATCACAATCTCATTGACATACTTCTAATTTTCATTGTTTTGGAGAAGTTGAAACTCGACTATAGAAGAATTGAATTTACACGAAGCAAAACTCGAAGTTCTGTGATCTGATTTTGAAGGTAAACTTATAATAACTTAATATAAGCTTATGATTTTGAAGACATTAAAGATTTCAATCTAATGAAACATTTATCTAATCATGATTAGAGATTTCTCCCTGTTAAAAATAAGCTCTATTTGCCCAGTATGTGACATGTGTTCTCTCGTTAACCATTAATAGTATGCAATTTTTATTTTCAATTTACAATTATGAACGCGCTGATTTGTGACTATATGTAACTATTTATGTGATTTATTCACATTAATACATGTTTCTGTTAACTGCGACTAGTTGTGACTACTAAATTAAATAGATTGTGACGTGTTAAATATCTTGACAGTTCATAAATAAAATTAGTTTAATTTGTGATTAATGTCTTTGCATTGAAAATTGACTCCTCTGACCCTATGTGGCCTGTATTGATCTATCTGTGACTTCTTCATCTGTGGTCTATGGTGATCAATGTCATTGCATCTGAATATTTCCTAATTTTAATGAATGAAATGTGACATGCTGTTATTTGTGTGTGAACAGGGATGGCGATTTTGTACGTTTGCTTGTTATACGGAGGTCACATGTCATTTATAATAGTGAATGATACGTACAAGTATGATGAATTAGTTGAGCTAGTTATTTTAGAATTGGCGCTTAATCATGCAGAAGTAGCTGTGAGACTAACATATTCTTGAATTCTTCTTACCTCTAGTCCGAATACTAACAATAATAATGTCTCAACGTATTTGAGGCTAAAATCTTTGAATGGGATAGTATCAAATTATCCTATTACAATTGATGTTATCACTACAGATTTATGGTAGTCAACATGTACATTGCAATGCCCAGAGTCATCGACTACTTTTGTTGAGTCATCAGCTAATGTGTTTTCTTTAAAACAAATAGCTTAGGATATTTGTAACTCAGTTATGACTGTTGAGAAAGGAAACATTAAAGAAAATGTGACATTTGTATCTGAAGCAAATGTTAGAGAAGTAGTGGAGGGAAATGTTTTTTGCAACAAGAAAATATTGAAAATGAGCTTGGCATTTTATGCCATATAAAACAAATTTAAATATAAGGTGTTAAGATCGGACGTGAAGGAGTGCGTGATAAAGTGTTCACATGACGATTGCAAGTAGATATTTTGATCTTCATGCTTAGGAGAGACGAAAATGTTTAAAATCGGGAAAATTTGTAATGGTCACACATGCTCGATAAACATTATTTTAGGATCCCATCGATAAGTATCTAGCTCAATGGTGTCAAACTGCATCAGGTACAAACACACTTCTTCACGTCCAATACACTCCTAATGATATCTCAAATAACATGTTATAAAATATGGAGTATTAGTGAATTACATAAAGGCATGGATGTCACGTGAACAGACATTAAAATTGATTAGAGGTGATCCAACGACATTGTTTCAGCTGCTGCCTTCTTATTCCTTTATGCTAGAACAGGTGAACATGGAGACTGTCACAAGAGTAGAAATAGATCATTTGGATAGATATAAATATTGTTTTATGGCTTTCAGTCGATCGATTGCTAGTTGAAATTATTATAGGCCAATCATTGTACTTGATGGCACATATTTAAATGGTCACTACGAGGGTACACTCTTCACGACTTGTACGCGAGATGCAAATAACAACATTTTCATACTAGCTTTTGAGATTAGGGACAATGAAAATAATAAGTCATGAAAATGATTCCTTAAGATGTTGAAAAGCTCATATGGATCGACAGACAGATTATGTGTATTATTTGATAGACACAATAGCATAAGAAATGTCATTGAATTCGTATATGCAAAGGTAATACACAGGATTTGTTCGTACCATTTGCTTAAAAATTTGAAGACCCATTATTTAAAATCAGGTCATAATATCACACATGCATTCAATGCTACTATACGAGCATATATAGTAGATGAAATTGAATAACAAATACAACAATTGGACTCTGTCGATAAAGAGATCATAGGATATTTGGTATGTGGCTGTCCATAACTTATATTGTGATTGCCCGTGACTTGTTCTGTAATATTATTTAGTGTGACTATATGTGATTATGCCTGTTTAATGTATAAACTATATTTCATTTATTATGACATGTTGCTACATTGTTTTATTATAATATGGATGAACTAAATTTATTTTGTAGTTGGAAATTGGATATGAAATATGGTCCAGATTGCACATGCCAACAAATCAATACTCTACCACGATTTCGAACATAATTGAATCTGTAAATGCAGTCACAAAGGTGGCCAAAAATCAACCTATTGAAGCGCTTCTTATGTCATTAGGAAAATGGTCCAATCTTAGTTTTGCAAGAATAGGAACAATGCACATAGCACTTTCACAAATATTGCAACAATAAACGAAAAGCTTTTGAGAGAAATGGGCCATGATGTGCGAAATCTGAAGGTAATTACAATGTTCAATACATAAAATTATGATGGTCATATTTATAACTATAACCCCCTTGAAATCACAATACTAATTGATTTATTTAATTTCAGGTTTATTTAACTATAACCCTCTTGAATTCAAAATACTAACTGATGAATATGGAGACCGTCACAAGAGTAGAAATAGATCATTTGAATAGATTTAAATATTGTTTTATGGCTTTGAGTGGATCGATTGTCAGCCGAAATTATTGTAGGCCAGTCATTGTACTTGATGACACATATTTAAATGGTCACTACGAGGGTACACTCTTCACGACTTGTACGCAAGATGCAAATAACAACATTTTCATACTAGCTTTTGAGATTGGGGACAATGAAAATAATAAGTCATGGAGATGATTTCTTAAGATGTTGAAAAGGGCATATGGATCGAGAGACAGATTATGTATAGTATCTGATAGATACAATAGCATAAGAAATATCATTGAATTCGTATATCCAGAGGCAATACACAAGATTTGTTCGTACCATTTGTTTAAAAATTTGAAGACCCATTACTCAAAATCAGGTCATAACGTCACATATGCATTCAATGTTGCTATACGAGCATATCTAGTTGATGAAATTGAATAACAAATACAACAATTGGACTATGTCGATAAAGAGATCATAGGATATTTTGTACGTGGCTGTCTATAACTTATATTGTGATTGTCTATGACTTGTTCTGTAATATTATTTAGTGTGACTATCTGTGATCATGCCTGTTTAATGTATAAACTATATTTCATTTATTGTGACATGTTGCTACGTTGTTTTATTATAATATGGATGAACTAAATTTATTTTGTAGTTGGAAATTGGATATGAAATATGGTCCAGATTGCACATGCCAACAAATCAATACTCTACCACGATTTCGAACATAATTGAATCTGTAAATGCAGTCACAAAGGCGGCCAAAAATCAACCTATTGAAGCGCTTCTTGTGTCGTTAGGAAAATGGTCCAATCTTAGTTTTGCAAGAATATGGACAATGCACATAGCACTTTCATAAAGATTGTAACAATAAATGAAAAGCTTTTGAGAGAAATGGGCCATGATGTGCGAAATCTGAAGGTAATTACAATGTTCAATACATAGAATTATGATGGTCACATTTATAACTATAGCCCTCTTGAATTCACAATATTAACTGATTTATTTAATTTCAGGTTTTCCAGCAAGTCACACTTTGTTTCAAGCGTGAAATGATTTTTCATCATATATAATTGATATTACTCAACGCATATGCAGTTGTAGATTGTTTCAAGTAGATCAACTTCAGTGTCCACACGTACTAACATCATTTACAACATTGAAGCTTGATGTGTATGATTTCTACTCAAATTATTATACAACGGATAGATATGTGAA